GCAGCCGGTGATTGGAACGATATATGCCACAGTGAGGAGAAGAAAGGAGGCAGACCAAGGCTAGAGGCAAGTTGCAGGGGCTTTAGAGAGTTCATTAATGCAATGGGAATGCAGGAGATAAGCCAAAGAGGTCAGTTGTATACATGGGGCAATAACCGTGAAGGAGAAGGCTTTGTAGAAGAAAAGCTAGACAGAACGTTTGCTACTCTGGAGTGGATTAATATGCATTCTTCAGCTCAAACAACTTGTTGGTTCAGAAGTTCCTCGGACCATTGTATGTTGGTCATTGAAATGGACAAGAGTGTTCAAAAGCAGAAGAAAAGGTTTATGTTTGACAAGAGATGGATCTCAAGAGAAGGGGTCTCAGATGTGGTGCAAAAAGCTTGGGAGGGGCAAGGGTCAGGAACACCAATGTTAGATGTTAAAGAAAAGGTCAAAAAGGCTAGAGAGGCACTATTAATCTGGAGCAAATATTTCAGAACAGAAAATGCTGACAAAATAAAGACCCTCACACTTTCTCTCGAGGAAATGAGACATGAAGGTGGAGAAAGAAACTAAGAAGCTTGGGACAGACTGAAAAAAGAATTGGGTGCAGCTCATGTCTCGGAAGAACTTTTTTGGCAGCAAAAAGCACGAGTTTTGTGGCTCAAGGAGGGTGATAAAAATTCTAAGTTTTTCCATGCCTATACAGTACAAAGAAGAAAGATGAACGCAATTGAAAGACTGGTAGCTGGGGATAACACTATATGTGAGGACCAGAGTGGAATTGAAAATATCATCACTGACTATTACAACAATCTCTTCTCTACTCAAGGCTCAGCAAACGGTCATGAATTCCTGCCTATCATTGAGAGAACAGTGTCAGAATCTATGAATGAAAGTTTACTAATGCCGGTTGATGAAGCAGAAATCAGAAAAGCTCTATTCAGTATGCATCCTGATAAATCTCCAGGGGAAGACGGTATGACGGCATTGTTCTACCAACATTTTTGGCCAATTGTAAAAATAGATACATGTAGAGCTGTCCAAAGTTTTTTTCAATCAGACCAAATGCTCAGGTATTGGAAGCACACTTTGATAACATTAATTCCGAAATGTAAAAATCTAATCTCCATTTCTCAATTTCGGCCAATTAGCCTCTGTGTTGTTTTTTATAAAATTGTGTCAAAAATTTTGGCCACAAGGTTAAGAAGTTGTCTACATTCTTGCATATCAGTTAATCAAGCTGCATTTTTGCCGGGTAGACAACTCCTTGACAATGTTATTATCGCCCATGAGATTTTTCATTTCCTAAATAGGCACAAGTCTGGAAAGAATTTTTTTATGGCATTGAAACTGGACATGGTCAAGGCTTATGATAAAGTTGAATGGAAAAGTGTTCAGTTAACAATGCTTAGAATGGGCTTTCATCGAAAATTTGTCAAATGGATAATGGCTTGCATCAGTTTCCCTACCTATTCTTTTAATGTAAATGGCAAGCTCTGTGGATATGTTTGTGCTTCTAGAGGCTTGAGACAGGGGGATCCTCTATCCCCCTATCTATTTATTATAATTGCTGAATTGTTTTCTGCTAGACTGAACATGGAGGCAGACAGAGGAGGGTTTAAAGGAATTAGGCTTTCAAGAGAAGGGCCATTGCTCACCCATTTATTATTTGCTGACGACTCGCTGGTTTTTTGTAAAGCGGAGGAATTCCAGATCAATAAGATTCTGTCTATTCTGCAAGCTTACAAATCTTTTACTGGTCAGCATGTAAATTTTGAGAAATCAACTGTGTTTTTCAGTAAAAATACTCCTGTACACATCCAGGAAAGTTGCTGCAGATTGCTCCAAGGGGTCAAAGCTCACTCATCAACAAGATATCTAGGCCTTCCATTGGGGATTGGCAGATCAAAATCAGAAGCTTTCAATTATATTCTATCAGTGGTGAAAAGTAGAATGCATAACTGGAAAAATATGTACTTGTCCACTGCAGGTAAGGAAGTTCTTGTCAAAGCTATCCTTAATGCCCTTCCTGTGTTTGCAATGTCATGTTTTTTATTGCCCAAGGGGCTATGCAAAGAGCTGGCTAGAATTTGTGCCCAATTCTGGTGGAGCAAAGGGGCTGACAGGAGAAAAGGGATGCATTGGATGTCGTGGGATAAATTGAACTTGCCAAAAAAATATGGAGGTTTGGGCTTTAAAGATTTTCAGCTTTTTAATGAGGCTTTGGTGTCTAAACAGTTATGGAGGATTGTTTCTGAGCCAGATTTATTAGTTAGCAGGGTTTTAAAATCAAAATATTTTTCTAGCTGCTCTATTTTTGAAGCTCCGAAGAAACATAATTCTTCATGGCTGTGGAATTCGTGGTTGTCTGTTTTAGAAGTTAGTGGCAAATGGATGAAAATTCAAATAAATAATGGCACAAATACAAAAATTCAGGATAAGCACTGGCTACCTTTCAACTGTGGCAGAGAAGTTAAGCTGAGGACAGACAGAGATTGCTCTTTGGTGTGGGTCAGAGACCTTATGAATGAAGCAGGAACAAGCTGGGATGAACAGAAAGTCAGACAAACTTTCCACAAGGAACAGAGTGAGGCCATATTGAAGAGGATTAATATCAACCCATATTTGAATGATAGATGGATGTGGAGCTTAGAGAAGAAAGGTAAATTTTCTGTTTCTTCTGCATATTCTCACCTTATTGAGGAAAAGATTCATAAACTGGATAGAGCTCAGACAAGTTCAGCTTATTCTAGGGATGTTTATGTGAGAAACAGAAGTTGGCATTTGAAAGTGAAGGGGAAAATAAAACATTTTATTTGGAAGTGTTGGAATGGCATCTTACCAGTGAAGAAAAATCTGTTGCAAAAAGGATTAGATGTTGATGTGGTGTGCCAAGGATGTGGGGAGGCAGAGGAGACAATTATGCATGTTTTTTTTCACTGTCCAATAGCTGCTCAGGTTTGGAAATTGGCTCCTGTTAGTTGGGAGCAACCAAAGGAACATGATACTTTTCAGCACTGGTGGTGGAATATTTGTCAGGTGAAAAAAGGAGAGGTTTCCGAGGCCAGAATTCAGTTGTCTACATACATATTATGGTGGCTATGGAAATCACGGAATTTATGGTTATTCGAGAATGTTAAACGGTCTGGCCCGCAAATTGTCAAGACAGCCATCCAAGATTGGAGGGAGTTTCTTGATAATTCGGACTAGCAGGCTTGTAGTTGCAGATTTTTCATTTTTTGTAGTTTTTGTATTAGTAGTATGATGCTAGGCCTTGAAAGCAGTGGTGTCATACTTGAAATTCTAGTCTGTTTTTGGTGTCTTGAAGAGCAAAGGTCCAGCTAAGGTTAATGCTGCTTTGTTTCTTCTAGTTTATTGTTTTGGTGATTTTTAGGCCACCTATGTGTGTGGTTCTCTCATTGTCGGCTTGTTCAGATTTATCCGAGTGTATTCGAACTATTTTGTTTTGTTATTAATGAGAAGATCTAACGTTTTGAAAAAAAAAACAATATCAAATTTCTTATTTTTAAATGCAATTTATTCGAAATGTAATTTAATATAATATTTAAAAATTTACATTGATTGATTTTTTACTAAAATAATAAAAAATTATATTTAAATTATATTAATAAAATTTTAAGAGAGTAATATTATCTTGATAAAACTAACATTTATGATATATGATAAGAAAAAATTGTTGATTCATTCAAATGATTTTGTAGCAATAATATATTCTCGTCATCCTTTTGAGAAAAAAACATGTGTAGTTTAACAATAATTAACAAAATTTTAACAATAATTAACACATTATGTTATTTATATTCATATAAAATTGTAGTTGCATAAATGTGAATCAATAAAGAAATTAAACGCGTGTTCGAGCCTTGGGAATGCAGCAGTGTTAAAACTCTTGAGGGAGAGCTTTGCCGCCCTTGTGGTCCTACCCGGCTCGATTCCGGATTAGTCGGTTCCCATGTGGATCCGGAAACCGCAAGGTCCCTGTACCAAAAAAAATAAATAAATTAAACGAAGCGTAGTAACTTTCATTACAAACTTTT